ACCAACTGCCTTCAGCTCAGATTGTGATCCTGGAGTCCCAGGATCGAGTCCCACATGGGGTTCCCCGCTCAGTAGGGAGTCTGCTTCTCCCTCTGACCCTCTCCCCTCTCATGCTCTCTCTCACTCTCTCTCTCAAATAAATAAAATCTTTACAAAAAAAAAAAGAAAGTTATCAGTTAGAATTGAAGAGTTGAAGGGAAGGTTTAAGTTTTAATAACCAAGGGAAAGTTACAAAATATTCATTGGGCATAATAGGAGAGTGAGCTTATAAATGACAGTTATGAGTGACAGCCTGTGTGGTGAGGCCATGTGAACCTGGTGATTATGAATGCACAGGGACATCAGATTGCCTAAGAGTGTGAAGTTCTTCTCCAGTGTTCTGCTTCATGGGTGCTGGCTCAGAGACAGCAGATGTACAGTACAGGATGCATGGTGATTCAGCCATGAAAATGTAATAGAAAGTTGAAGGTTTTAAGTAAATTATTATAATAATGGGCATGGAATCCATAGGATATGTATTAGTTACCTATGGTTGTATAATAGGCTATCCCTAAACTTAGCAATTGGAAACAGGAAACATTTGATACCATATAGTTTCTGCAGATCAGGAAGCCAGGAACAGCTTAGCTGAGTGGTTCTCATTCAGAGTCTCTCATGAGGCTCCTACCAAGATATTGGCCAGGACATCTCAAGACCTGACTGGGGAAACTTCCACTTCTAAGCTCACTCACATAGCTATTGACAAGAGATGCCATGTCTTCACAAAATAGCAGGTTTTAGTCAACAGAAGATACAGAGAGAACATTCTGCATAAAGGTGTGTTGGAATAGAAGAGCAAAGAGATCTAAAAGGCCAAGTGGGAGAATCTGGTGGGAAGAGAAATAGTAGGAATGAATGAGTCAGGATTGGTAAGAAACAGAGCTGGAGAAACACAACAGTTCAGAAATAATAGGTAATCAATAGACCTCAATCTCTGGTGTTGATTAAGGTCAACAGATATGCTGCTCCTCAAAACTTTAGTTCTTGTCATCATTATTGGTAGGGTGGGAACTCATTCCGAGAGGAAAAAAAAAATGATCACAGTGAGGGGAGTAAGAATGTAATGGGTTGCCTTTATATTAGCAGGTGGCAGCCAGGAAGGAAGCGTAAAGCTGGGAAAGCTATGGAGTTCTGAAGTTTTTTTCATAATAAGAAGAAAGAAGAAGGGGAGGAAGAGGAGTAAGAGAAGAATAAGAAGAAGTTCTTTCAGTTCATAGTAAATATGCTAATTTTAAGCAAAGGTAAGTACTCACCCATTTAATCATGTAATATTTTTATTTTATTAACACAAAATATTAATATATTAGTATTATATATTAATATATCATATTAATAAAATAGTAATATATTAGTATATTATAGTAAGTAATAGTTAAGGTTCATACCTCTGAAGTTGTTACATTAATTTCCTTTTATTATGGAATTAGTGGTTTTCAAAATTCTTTGTGTGTGTGAGTGTGTACTGGAGACATTAAGTATTGAAAAATTTGAGCGTATTGAAAAGGAATAATCTACAAACTTATTTGTGCTTTTTTACATTTTTACATTTTATTTATTTATTTTTTATTTATCTCACGACCCCGAGATCAAGACCTGAGCTGAGATCAAGAGTCGGACATTTAACAGACTGAGCCACCCAGGCATCCCTGTTTGTGCTTCTTAAAGACTTACTGAAGAAAAGTTCTAAAATCTGTAAGTGGTAATATAGTAATACCACAAGGACTATGAGAGAAAGGGGTGAGGGGGAAGAAAACACTTTTTAAGACTAAGTAACATATCAAAACATATCATTTGAGTCCAAGAATTGTGCAGGTGATACTGAATTTAGCAATAATCCTGGAGGATGGGGTTCTTTTTTTTTTTTTTCCCCTCCTAAGATAGAAGGACTAAACAGCAAAAAATAAAAAGCGATAGAAGAAAAAGATAATTATACTTGGAAATCTCATTTCTCTGAAGTAATCTTTAAAAATGTATAAATAATAGGAGAGATAAATTTGAAAGACTTTAACTTTACATGCCTGGGCCAGTTTAAAATACAAGTTTATATTCTGATGTGTTGACACTGGTTTCTTAATAGTCCTTTCGAAAGTTGGCAAGGAAACTTAAATGAAAATTAGTTTGTACAATTAATCTGGTAGTTTTGGGGTGAGAATACTTTATTACTAAAGAGAAATAAAAAGGAGCCTAGTAAAACCATGCTCCCAAATACATGTGTAATAACTGAAATACATATGAACATATTATATATATGTGTATGCACTTTATATATAATGTATGCATATATACACACACATATATATGTGTGTATGTGTTAAATATGGGTCTGTGTTTGCATATATACCGACATACATACACAGATACACACAGGCACTTGTGAGAGGCAAATGAAGGCTCATAATTATAATCTGAAATGGTGATTTTTAGAATGTATTAAAACATAAAAACAGACCAATCTCAATAGAGAGGAAAGGACACAGAGAGCCTACAGTATGTAAACTGCTGCTCTTTTTATTGTTGGGTCAATATATCAGCAGTGCTTCCACATGGAACAGAGTAGACATGAATCAGGGTGGTTCTTCCTTGGTTTGCCTTTGGATTGTGCTGTTGTCAGGGTTCAGAGACCAGATTCTCCATACATGGTTCTTTTTGTGATTCTTGATTATGACCCCCTGAGGAAGTCAGACCAGCCTGGGGTTACTGGAGATGGTGTCTTGCTTGGCATATTTATCATCTACAAATCATCTGCTATAAATATACCTCAGCAGGATCATCATCAGCCTGGCTCAGTAGCCTGCAATTTATGAAGGTTATGGGAAACAGTGTGAAGGGTGAAGTGCTTTATTAAGGGTGGTTTTCTCCCTGACCCAGCCCTGTGTTCTACTTGAATATAAATGACCCTGGGAATGAGTACTCCTTTCCATTTAGGATTAAGTATTTTTAAATTGTCCCCTTCAGCTGTTATTCTTATGTTACTATGTCATGACTTTAAGATTTTCTAAGAAACATCAAAATCACAGTGTTCGAAGATAACGTGAGAAATTACTAGATGCAAGATAGATATATATCTAAACCTCACATTGTTTCCTCTACTTTTTTTCCATTTTTTAGCATTTGTCATCAATCTCTATTTTTGCTTCTGGCAAAATAACAGAACTAACCAAAATGTCTTGCAAATATCATAATTATTATCTCTATGGAAGTTGAAATAAAGGAAATGTGATTCTCTTTTGTACTGCTGAATGTTGTTTTTAAAAGAAAATGTGTTTGCTTCAGACACAATGTTTTGGATTATGCCCTAGACATAAACCTTATTTTCCTTTCACATTCCCTTAAATGAATAAAAAATATTGTAATGAACCAAAAATGACACGAAACCAAATTGCCACACAGGCTGCTCTCTCAGCCAGTGAATGTTCCTGGAACATGGTTAAAGCTTGTTGGTTGGGGAATGATTAACGGTTTCCCTTACAGGATGTTATTCTGAACACTTGTCCTAGAAGAAAAAGCCTTGAAGAGGGTCACCCTATTAATATGTATTAAGAAGTAAAGGGCCAATTTTAATATTTCAAACAACTCCAGTGAATAAAAGATCCTTGGCACCTTTCTGTTTTCACTATAGTCCTCTTTTAAAATGATGTTCTTCACTCTCCATCTGCTCCAGGGGAGAGGAACAACAAGAGGAAGAAAAATGCAGAAAGAGTACAGAGAAAAAAAAATGATGGAAATTGTTTTATTCCACTTAACCTGACTCTTAAGCCACTCACCTTTAGGAAGACTCCAACACTTTATATGAATTAGCCATTGTGGTCTCCCCCGCCATATCACCATACTATTTGCCACTTGTTTTGCAAACCACCAACTGCGTTTACAAGTAGAGACATAATCAGTAGGCGAATGACCTTTTGCAGCATTGTATCTGAAGCTAGTTCATCAAATACTTGTCAGCCAACTGTCCAGGGGGCTAAATAAATAAATAAAGGTGGGGAGTGATGAAAATTTCTTTTTTTTTGCTGCTAAATAGAGAATTTGGTAGCCTTTCCTCCCCCTTTCCCCCCTTTTTTTTTTCCACCTCTGTCCACAAACCTGTTACTAAGGAAACTTGAAAAGGAATCAGATACATTAAGAAAACAAAAGTTTAGACCCCACAACCACGATCCCATTGCCATGCAGAAAGCAATGCAAGATGCCCAACCTCGGTCGCCGCACCGCGGTCCTGACAAAGCCTGTATCTAGCCAGAACAAATAAGATGTTAATTGCAGCCTCGCTGAGAAAAACTAGTATTGTTCCAGCCAGAGACACGCAGCATTTCAGGAGCCGAGATGTGCCCCCTCCGCTGAGGACTGGATCAATTCATCTGAATCCCGGTGATGAAATGACAGCTCTTCGGCGGCGACAGGTCCGCGGTGAAAGAAGGACGACCAAGTCCAGTATTTACTTCCCACCCGTCAGAGTCGCCTTCCAGTCCTCCGCACCCCCCTTGCCTCGCCTCCCAGTGAGTTTCTCTTACAGTTGGTCGCCGTCAGCCCCAGCGGTGGGAACTGAGGATGCAAAAACCTCCCAGACGCCGAAAATACTGCTTTCGGGACGTGCTTGGTTTTGAGTAGCCGTGACGTGCAGGCTCACGGCGGCCCTGGCTGGAGCCCCGCGGAGCCCCACTCCCGCCCGCCTCCCTCCTTTCTCACCCCGCCGCTTCCCTCCTCTCCTCTCACACACACCCGCCCGCGCCCTCGGGAGGCAGAACTTCGGGAAGGCACAGCTGCCGCGCGGCGCTC